TCTGTCAACCAGTACCCCCAGGTCCTTTTCCACCAGGCAGCTTTCCAGCCACTCTTCCCCAAGCCTGTAGCGCTGCATGGGGTTGTTGTGACCAAAGCGCAGGACCTGGCACTTGACCTTATTGAACCTCATACAGTTGGCCTCAGCCCATCGATCCAGCCTGTCCAGGTCTCTCTGCAGAGCCCTCCTCCCCTCAAGCAGATCAACACTACCACCCAGTTTGGTGTTGTCTGCAAATTTACTGAGGGCACACTCAATCCCCTCATCCAAGTCATTGATAAAGATATTAAACAAGACTGGCCCTAGAACTGAGCCCTGGGGGACACTGCTTGTGACCGGCCGCCAACTGGATTTAGCTCCATTCACCACGACTCTCTGGGCTCGGCCATCCAGCCAGTTTTTAACCCAGAGAAGAGTACATCCATCTAGGCCATGAACTGCCAGCTTCTCCAGGAGAATGCTATGGGAGACTGTGTCAAAGGCTTTGCTGAAGTCCAGGTAGACAACATCCACAGCCTTTCCCTCATCTACCAGATGTCTCAGATTATTTGCTTCTAAAATGTCAAAAGCTGAAGCAAGCAAATGTGGTAGGACTATGTGCAGTTCATTGCTTATGAATTCAATATGGGCTTATTTCATGATGACTGAGATGAGTCTACACAACACTGCATGTGGGAAATTGCAGGAGGCACCATATGTTTTTAAAATACTCCTATTTCTGTTCTCTTGATACTGGACTTTGAAAGAAACTGTTCTGACATGGCTGTAGGCCTGTCTCTAATGGCAGGAGCTGGTCAGGAATTGAGAACACAGTGCTGGGAAAGCAATAACCCTACCAGCTGGGGAGGGAAAGGAATGCTAAAAACATTTAGTTTGGCTGTTAGGATAGCAAAACCGCAAGGAATTAATTGACTCTTCCTCTTGAAATGCCGTAGTCTCACATGGCTAGAACTGAGAGGATGAAACAGAGTTATCAGTCTGGAGCTTGGCATTGCGTAAAGTGAGTTCACGGCTTCTAGTGTCCAAAAGCTACATGTGGTTCAAGCACTTGGACTTTTAAAACATTTTAAAGTGTTACGTTAAGGGTAGGTTTGTGGGAGTTGTGGGGTTTAGGTTTGGGGGGTTTTTTCCTGCCTTCTTGAAGAGTGGGCTTCAGGCCATCACTGGCTTGCAGGCTTTGAATAAACTGAACAACTGCTAACCTGAGGATTGGGACCAGAAGATACGTGATAATGAATTATTTGGACTTTTTTGTTCTGGATCCTATTCTTAAACCAAAACAATTCTTACTGAATGTGAAGAAAGTCCAGGTCTGGTAGATCTGTTTGTAAACTGCTGAGGGTCAAATCCAGCCCTGGGGCCAATTCAACTGCTGTTGAGTCAAGGTGCTGCTATATTAGGTGTAAATCAGCCCACAACTATATTCTTAAAATTAGCATAGTGGTCTTCATCCCCACACCCCAGATATCTAAATTCAATAGTGAAGCTATAAACGATTTTTTTCTTGGGCGTTGTACCACTGTGGTACTTTTCTTGCATACCAGAGCTTTTACAGGCCAGGTGTGTGAGGTGTCTTTGAAGGTGTAACCTTGCTCAGAACCAGCTTCCATAGTGTGACTCAGACTGTCAATATTACCTCTGTTCTGTGATACCGTCTGTCTATATGCTCAGTCTCAAAAAAAAAAGGCAATGTTAAAAGTGTTCTGTCTTTCAAATTATGATTGGTAGGTTGTTTTCTTCCCTTGGCTAGAAAAAATTCTTAGACTACATCAAACAGGTGACAAGTGTGGGTCCTAGACCTCTGTAAGGTGAAAATCTCCACAAAAGCCTTAATTCTTAACATCCATGCAACTTTTCTGGAATAATAGGGGTGCTGGGATACCTAGATAAGGACATTTTTATGGAGTACTGTTAAATCTCACTAGCTTTACTTGCACCAGATTGTCTACCCTTCAGGATGAGCCCAGGAAAGTTTATTTGTTTGAACAGCAGGCTGTTTCTGAGTAGACTGTATTGACAACGCCTTCAAATCTATAACCCCTTTTCCAGCTTTGTTCCTGCATTGGCTTTGTTGTGTCCTGGTTCCTACCCAGTCTGTGTGGAGCTTGGGCCTTCATTGTGGTTCTCAGTACTTTGTTTTGCTGAATTGCAGTGCAGGAATTTTTTAATCTGGGTGTATTTGCCATTTTGGCTTCATACACTCTCTTAGATTGGCCTTGTGAATGAAGCATATCTGTGAGCTGTTGGTTTGTTTTTTCTGTCTGTATGGGTTTAGGGTAAACTCATATTTTTAGACCCTTTGTTGTGAAACTTAGTTATAGGATCCTGGGTGTGGGTTTTTTCCTCTACCTTATGTTTTCTTTAGAGCGGGGTTTTCAGTATGTAAGGCCAAATTAACAACTCTTTAATTATTCTATGGTAAGTCTGAAGTAGCATTGCGTTAAAATATGGTGGGATTCTCTGTGTGTGTGTGTGTGTGTGTTCAATGAGACCTGAGAAAGTTACCTCCTCACCTGTAAAAGCTGCAGACTGAAGAATTATCTTATCGATATCTTGCAGCCCAGGGTACTTAACAGGTATTTTCCTTGTTTAAAATGAGGGAAGGGTTGAAGTATTCTTGTCCTAGACCTTAAAAAAAACCCAAACATGTTTGGCCTGTTGGGTAGTAGATGTTGTAGATAAGACACAAAGTGCAGGGGCACACAGGTGCTCATGAAAACAAAACCACAAACTCAAGTGCTTATAAAAGCAAGAGCATGAACTCCAGTTCAACAGAACAATGTTTATTTAAATATATGTGTTTTCAGACTTTTAAAAATAAGTATTAGAACTGAGGTTAAAAACTGTAATGTGGAATGATATTTTTTTAAAATAAATTGAAAGTTGCAATATTGAGCTCTTTGCGTACTAGAATACTTTTTTCTTATTTAAGATCAGAGAAGAATAAAAAGAACAATGATAATATGTTATACCTGGTGTGTGCATATAAGAGGCTGCTGCGGTTAGTGTTGGAATATAAGAACAGTTTATTTTTTCAACCCTGAGACAGTTTCCCTTACAAGATCGGCTCATACCTTAAGTTTGTATCACAATGCAAGGTGGTATATTTCTTAAAGGTAGCGTTGAACCAAAAGAGCAAGGAAGAGGTATAGAAGTGTTTAGCTCAGATTACAACTGGTATTTTTTTCCTAGCCTTATGTTCAGGCTGCTTATTACTGTATCATCTTAGCTTCTCCGTAAAGATGCTTTTCCATTTGTAAAATGGGAGTGATGTCACTTCTCGGACATGCTTAGCAGTCCAGAGGCCGGTAGCCTTTCAAGGGTGGCTGCCAGACTTTTCTTGTAAACGTCAAAGTTAACTGCACCTTGGAGAAGATGGAAAAGTTGTTCTCTCCTCAGCGGGGCAGACTGTTGCCAGTTAACTAAGTGGGGAGATCTTTGTCCACATGAAGAGGCAGCTCCTGTTTGAACCTGGGACGTGATGAGAGCTGGGAGCTGTTTTCTCTATCCTGAGATACCACATCTGTCCTCAAAAGCATCGTCTTGTGGCTCTGCTATTTACCAGTTAATATCTGAAAGTCTTTTCACCTGTGCCCAAAGATCGTTGACCAAAGAAATATTCAGTACTGGAATGTCCTTGTACATCTATAATGCAAGAAACTGTGGGAGTTGCTTTTCTTCCTAGCCTGAGGTCATATTTCTTACCTGGATAATATTTCCTACCTTTTACTGTTTTCCCCATCCCCAAAATCATAAGCATGTAAGTTGACTTAATGCCAGCATTTTCTATATGAAGTTAAGATACTGAATGTGGTTGTTATATGAAGACGATATTTAAATCTACATTTAATTTCCATCTTAAAAAAAAAAAAAGCTTTTTCATATCTGAGATGTTTTGATAAACTCAAATTAGAAAAATCTGATTGTTTGGGAAAAAAAACCACCTGGCATCATTCCACAAATAGATGAAATATTTCTTGTTATAATGTAGGAGCTGTCTCTTCTAGCTGTTTCAAATTTCCCCTTATTTAGGCTGTACTTAGTCAAGATCACAAATAATAACTTACTTCACTTACACTATCAAACCACAGATTTTATAGCTCTTAATTCAAAGAATAGTTTATAAGCTGTACCTCTGAGAGGATGTGTTGTGATCTGTGGCATGTCACTATAGTAGTGATGGGGTGGTTCTGATTTTTTTTTTTTTGACTTGGACGCTTTGCAAAACTCTATTTTTGTCAGATTTTGGAACTTTTCTCCATTTTGATTTCAGCCCTAGAAGTAGAAATGTAGGACAAGGATGGAGACAGCAACACTGGTATTGTTTGGAGAGTGGCTATATTTACATAAAGCCTGCTCAAAAATCTAAATGATATCAAAAATACAGTTTCTATCATGCCAAGTAGAAACTGTATTGAATTCTTTAACAAGCAAATAAACTTTTGCAAGGAAACAAAGCAGCAAGAATATCCCCTTGCTATGGAAAGGACAAGGTTTACTTCTAAATCTGATGAGAACAGGCTAAATAGGAAACGTTAGGTGCCAAGAGGTTATACTCAAGTATGTGTAAACAAATCTCTGTTTTTCTTTTTGAAAAAAGGCTTAGAGTAATGCCCTGTTTGCTGAAGTTGTTATATGCTTTTTCTTTGCAGTCCTAAACCAATAACCTCAATGTTAGACAAACCAGAGGAAAGACCTATGAAGGCAGCAGTCTCACCAGTAAAGGTAAGATTGGTATTGAATATAGCAGAAGTTATCTTTTACATTTTGTGTGTTTCTTTGCTTCAGTGGTAAAGATAATAAAAGATTTGAGGAAGAAAGTTAGTAAGTTGGAAAAAAATGAGTATTTTTTGGTTTGGAGGGAGATAATGAACTAAAAGTTCAGTGCTAAAATGCTGTTATGGCTATAATCAGTGGCTGTCTATGCTTGACATTGTTTCAGCCACTTAAAAAAATTGTCTTGCTGTGTTCCAATATCTCTAAAGTCACAGAAGTAAAGATAAAATTATTTAACTTGCAACAACTTGGGATTTTCAAGTGTCTTTAAGTGATGGCTTATCTCTTCTATTGGTGACTTCAAAAAGAACAGGATGAGGCTATCGCTAGCACTTCTGATAATACCCTGTTCATATTGTTTAGGATTTTTTGTCAAGTATCCAATTTAGGAGGCATGCTTTCAAGATTCTTTGCTGACAGGGTAGTGAGGCAGAGGAAATCACTGCACTTTCATTTATTTTGTCAAGACTGTACTGATAGAACAGTTTGACTGCAATTATGATATTCATTCCTCTTTTAGCAAAGGAGAAATCCATTTAATTCCACTGCATCAGGTGATAACTTGAACAGCAGGGAATCAGAAAACAGACCAGCCACTCTACCTCAGCTATCAAAGAAGGGTAAATATATATATTTAGCATATGACTGTGAATTTCTCAGTGGTTCATATGGAAATTATTTTTACTTTCATTGCTTCTTTGTGTAAGATGTCAAAACCTGTTTTGTCTTAACTACTTGGAGTTATCAACTAGTTAATTTCAAACCCCATGAAAAACATGAATGTACTCAGGAAATGGCTGTTTACATGAGTAAATGGTTTTTGTTTCCTTTCTTTTACTCACAGTTCTAGTCAGTATTAAGCACTCCATCTGAGAGGGCTGTTTGTCCTGAATTGCTGTTAAGAGAACAGAGAAATTTCCTTGAATTTGGCATAGCTGCCTTTACGACCTTCCAGTCATTGCTGCTATTGGCTGAACAGAAGAAGCCTTAACTCTTTGATCTTTATTTTTTTCCTTTGTTTTCTCAGAGCTGTTTATTTTCAAATACTCCCTTTCCTGCAATATTCTCTGCAAGCAAGTAGATGAGTGATGATATGTCACAATACAGGCATTTGAAGTTGTAATTTAGAAGCTCATATGTAGAAATTACTCTCCTGTCTCTGTTATGAAGCTTGCCAACAGGAAAAAGCAAGACTTGCACATTAGGAATAAAAAAGAATTTTGTCTCCTTACTGGGAGATCACTTCTGCATCTTACCTTGTTCCATATGAATGTGGAAATAGCCTGTTTCCATTTCTGTAGGTCACTGTTTATATTCTGAACCTGAAGAGGTGGATGCATATTCAGAAGTCACCCTTCTCTGCAAAGTTTGTCCCTTGCAGGAGTAATGCTGATCAAAAATTTGGTGTGCTCTCTGTCTTTGGAATCATCAAATAGTTACTATTTCTAGAATAAGAAATTACTGCAGGATTTTCATCTGTTAAAAATTCCTGTTATGTACAAATGAAATCAACACCTATGTTGAGTTTACTCCTGTGTTTTAATGCAGGTGTTTTTAATAAACCAATATAATCACTGCATTCTAGATCTGCACTGAATCATACCTTTCTGTTTATGCAGATGAATGTCATGTAAACTCATGATTTCTTCTCTCTGTCTTACAGAAATTTTGTCACTCTCAGAAGAGAGCCAACCTAAACCAAACTTACAAAATGATGAAACAGAGACACATAAAAAGCCTTCTGTGGAACCTACTGATGAATCACCGAGCCAACCTAAACCAAACTTACAAAATGATGAAACAGGGAAACATAAAAAGCCTTCTGTAGAACCTGTTGATGAATCACAGAAAGGACTAGTTAAGCGTCCTGTCCCAAAAGCTAGAAAATTTATTCACAAAGCAACAGATCCTGTGTCACAAAAGGAAGACTTTGTTCCAAAACCACCCAAACAGACTGAGAGGATTAATGGCACTGGTACGCTGCCCAGGGGCATTCTGAAGCGCAGTTCAAGTTCAAGTTCCACTGAGTCAGAAGTTCGTGTTAGTCAGATGTTAGATGTTCAGAAAAAGAATGTTATTCCTACTGCAACTATTTTTGAAGGAGAAGCTGAGAAGAACTCTCTTATGGAAGAAGTGGAAGACTCCACACAAATTTCACTGGAAAAACTAAAACAAGTGAGGTTCTCATCCAGCACAGGTAAAGAACCTCTGCAAAGCCCACAGCTACACCATGGTAGAGAAAAAGGGGAGTTTGGTTTGTTAGAATCTGATGAAATAAAGAGTAGTGGAAATGATGCTGTTACGTCAGATTCATTTGGGAATAAGCAAATTTCTGCTGCAAAGCCTTTGAGAACCTTTTCATCAGCTTTACAAATAAAAACAATAGATGGCTTACAAGATGATACATCAGCATCCAGTCCTTGTGACACTAATAGGTCAGTCTTCCTGGTTAATGAAGCCTTGGAATCAAAGACAGTTACTCCTAAGAAACTTGAAACTCCACAGAAGACCTCCAGCAATATCCTGCCAAATAGCAATAACGAACAGTGTGTTGATGAGACACGTGAAAATAAAGCCAACAAGTTCTTGAGCCATGAATCTAAGTCACACAAAAACTTTACTGGTAAGAGACTAATAGGAGTGAAGAACAGCATAGAGCTCATATTCATTAATGTTTAAATCATCTGTTATCTTAAGAATTAACAACTAGGAAACAGAAATAGTAGGAATGTGCTACATATTGCAGAATTAAATTCTAAATATTTTTTTGTATTTTAATGCTCTATTGTAGTCAATATTTTTTAGATTATATTCTATTGGTATTCTTAAGAATTAACAATCAGATCAGAGCCTGGATAGGCACCTCTGTTGTGGATGATGAAGGTGAAGTGATAGTATTTGGGTAAAATGTCTGTCATAAGGACTGGTAGATCTGTCTGCACAGGAACTGGAGAATTTTTGGTGTGCTGCTGTCAGCTGTCCTTGGTAGTAATTCAGTTGTGACCTGGGGGTTTGCTTATGGGACTAAACAGAAATATGCTGTGTTGTTCCCTCCCTACCCAGCCCCCCCTTCAATGTAGCCATTTCCTTTAGAATGGGTATCTGCTCACACCCTCAAAAGTAATATGATTAATTTTCCAGTAGGATATCTAAGTGCAGGAATTTTTCACTCTATTGCCCGCAGTATGGTTCTTTGTGAAAACACAAGGATAGAGAAATAGAGAACTCTTTTTCTCTGCTAACAGTTAAAAAAAAATCTGAGAGATTTTTCAAGATCGTTCGAACGTTTGTAGAGTCATGTGTCTCATTCCGAACTCTGATAAGTTTGTTTGCATTGTAGATGAACATCAGCTTTCTGCTAAGACAGAAGCACACGAGGTGTCAAATACTAACTCTGCAAATCTTCAACAAGGTAAGCCTGATCTTGTTGAGGAGCAAGACACTAAAACCACTTTCAAGCCTGACAAACATGCTGATGAACTCATGAAAGTGGCTGATGAATCTGTATCAAAAGTTTTAGATTGGTTTAAAAGAAGTTCTGGTACTGAAGACAGGAAACATATATCAGCTAGACCCCAAGGCAGGGAACCCAAAGAGGAAGTGGACTTCTCAACCAAAACAGCAGTTCTTCCTACAGAACACAGTGGGCCTAGCGTGGTTAAACAACGGAACAGTATTTCGCCTACGTCATTTATTTCAGAAGATATACAGCTGATAAAAGAGAGGATGAAACCTAAGAAAGAGGAGGAGAATGAGGAAGAAAATGACAAATCACTAACTGAATTTGACTGTAGAAGAGTTGAAGAAAAAGAACGTGGCCAAGAAATCAAGCAACAGAATAAAAAATCAAATCTCCTGGAACATCAAGAACACAAGCTACCAGCTCAGAAATGTGAATCGGAGAAGGCAATACAAGAAAAAAGAAGAATAAGGAAGATCAGAGCATTCTGGGAAGGGGATAAAACTATCCCCAGTCATGGAGAGAAAGAAGTTAACCTCAATACTAATGCGTCAGGTGGTGGTGCATTGAAAAGTCTCAGAGAAAGTGACAAAATAAAACCAACTGCAGTATACCTACCTAATGGATTAGATGGTCAAAGCAAGAATATGAAAAGTGCCAGACTAAGTTGTGCAAGCCAGGCTTCAGGAAATCAACATGAAAACTCTTTTGAGTTTGGACCAGGCCATGCTGTTGAAAAGTCAGAAAGAGTATTTCCATCTGATGGTGAAGTTCATGAATATGCAGAATTGCCAAAAGCCAGTAAAGTGCAGCCAAGTATTGGTGCCACTTCAGCTTCCCCAGAAAACAAAGATAAAGATGAGAAAGAAACACTTAAAGGAAAAGCTGCTGCTTGTTCCCAACAGAAGCCCAGCTTCCACATTTTGTCTTTGAAAGAGAAAATGAATGAAAAGTCCAAGAATCAAATTTCAGATCCTTCACAGTTCCAGACTCTGAGAAACTTCTGGGATACCAGAGTTAAATTACAGAGTAGCATTGACAGGGGAAATGTTTCTTTGCCAAACAATACCAGTTCAATAACCTATGAAAGAAAATCAGAGGAAGCTAAAGGCAGAGATAATGTGAGCAAGCAAGCATTAATTCAACAACAAACCCAAGCATCTGAGAGAGAAAAACCAGAGAAACTAGATTCTGTGGTATGTGAACTGCCTCTAGGATCTCCTGCGCTAAAATGTCTGAATGTGACACACACACAAAACACAGAGTCTGTCCAGCTGGACAGAAAACCAATTTCCTCAAAGCCCCAGGAAAAGATGGGTCTTGCAGAACAAGAAGTTAAAGAATTTGTAGAAAAAAGTGTTGTTTCATCAAAAAAACATCATGTTTCCTTGCAGTTGTTCCAGTCACCTGGTGATAAAGATGCTTTAAAGGAGACAGCAGTAGATGACTGGCTGTGTTTACCTATAGAAAAAGTGGAGAACAAGACTACTCCATTAGATATCAATCTTCCTAAAGAGGAAGCTGAGATTGATGCATTTGAATTAGGCCTAAAGAAGTTAGAAAAGGAAGCCTCTGAGATGTCATCTAGCTTGAACCTAAAAGAAAACATTTTGAAAGGGACAACTTTTCACTCAGATGAGTGCAAGGTCTTTGAAAAAACAGTAGGGCAGCGCCATGACATTTCTCCTGCTGATCGGAAAGATGAAATAGGCAAAAGCACAGGAAAAGTGAATGTGCCATCAACAGAAGAGCATGAAAACAAAAAAAGCCCCAGGAAACTGTTTAGTGAGTTTGAACCTTTCCATCTACAGCATCAGGCAGCAGACAAGGATGATACTCTTGAGGGTTCTCGGAGGCCTAGAGCTGGTTTGCAGAATCTTCTCAGAGAAACCTTTGCATTTCAACCTTCTGAATATAGAAGGGTGGGAATGAAAACATCCAATGACATGAATAGTATGTCACAAACTAATTGTAGTGTAGAATTAACATGCCAAGAAGATACTGGTCAGCCTGAAGAGGTCAATGAGACCACGGAAAAGTCTGTTGCTCCATCCAAGGTCAATGGCTTGAGTTCTGCTTTAGAGAAGCTGCTGAAGGAGGCCTCTGAAACACCACCTCCTAAACCAAAGCGTGCCGACAGCACGCTACAGAGGACTGCTGAGGTGGAAATTAAAAGTACGACCTATGAGCATGGTGGAGAGTTGCTGCAGGAAATTGGTGAGACCATAGAAAAGTCTGTTGCCCCATCCAAGGCCAATGGCTTGAGTTCTGCTTTAGAGAAGCTGCTGAAGGAGGCCTCTGAAACACCACCTCCTAAACCAAAGCGTGCCGACAGCACGCTACAGAGGACTGCTGAGGTGGAAATTAAAAGTACGACCTATGAGCATGGTGGAGAGTTGCTGCAGGAAATTGGTGAGACCATAGAAAAGTCTGTTGCCCCATCCAAGGCCAATGGCTTGAGTTCTGCTTTAGAGAAGCTGCTGAAGGAGGCCTCTGAAACACCACCTCCTAAACCAAAGCGTGCCGACAGCACGCTACAGAGGACTGCTGAGGTGGAAATTAAAAGTACGACCTATGAGCATGGTGGAGAGTTGCTGCAGGAAATTGGTGAGACCATAGAAAAGTCTGTTGCCCCATCCAAGGCCAATGGCTTGAGTTCTGCTTTAGAGAAGCTGCTGAAGGAGGCCTCTGAAACACCACCTCCTAAACCAAAGCGTGCCGACAGCACGCTACAGAGGACTGCTGAGGTGGAAGTTAAAAGCTATGAGCGTGGTGGAGAGTTGCTGCAGGAAATTGGTGAGACCATGGAAAGATCTGCGCTGTCCAAGGTTGAATATGGAGTATTTGATGTTAATTTGCAGAAGCTACCAAAAGAGGTCTCTGAAACACCATCTTCTGTGCTGGAAAATATGGATAAGAAAATGCAGGGTAAAATACAGACTAGTCTAAATATCCATGCTCCACATCAACAAGAGCAAGGTCATCCTCAAGAAATACAAGAAACAATAGAAAAAACTTCTGTTTCAAATATTGCAAAATTCAGTGAATTCAGTTGCTCTTTAGAAAAACTTCTTCAAGAAGCATCTGAAGTTTCATGTCCAATATCCAAAGAGTTACATGAACAAGAAAAGTTTGGGGATCATATGTTTCCATCACAAAAAGAGACTCTATTCCTGACAATGTCAGAGCCACATAATGCTTTAAGTAGCTATCATATGCAGTTGAAGGTAGCTGTCAAAGGGGGGGCTCCAGAACAAAATATCAATGCTTCAGTAAATGATCTTGCAGTAAGTGAAACTGAAGCTTCTGATCTTCCTAAAAGAAATGGAGCTATTAAAATAGAAGAGAGAAACATGGCTCCGGTTGATCTTCCTTGCTTAGAAGGAGAGACCAATATGACTGCAATTAAGCCTTTCAAAATAAACAAAAAAGGAAGGAGAGATGAAAGCACATCTTTGGATGCCTCCGAAAAGAATTCGGAATTTAAAGCAGCGTTGAAATTCAGAAGAACAAGCACACCACTTAAAGATGAGAGCAACTCCCCCCAGCCAGAAGGAGCTCAACTCTGCCTAATGCCTCAGCATGAGGATAATGATGAAGAGGAAGGGGATGGCTCAAATTTGGGATCCAAGTTTTCAGATGAAAACTCTGATTCCCACTCTGAAACCAGAAGTTCAACGCGTGAGCTGTTTGATTTCTAAAATTCATGGTGCTGGGTTGTTAAACACGGCTACAATTCTTTTTTGGTAGCCAACTTGAAATATGTTTGTTAACCAAAATTCTGTGTGATACTTATTTCTTAATCAAATGCTTTGAGTATTTGTTTGGGAAGGATGGGAAGAAGTAATTATGTCCTTTAATCGGAAAGTGTTTGACAAACACGCACTACATCTGGGTAAGCCTTTTTGGGAAGGGGAGTTTAGCAGCATGAATCAATTGCATTGGTCTTCATGATTTACCCTTTTCTTCCTCCCCTGTGACATTGCCTCCAAATTAAGAACATTGTAATACTCAAAATCTGCTATTTCTTTTAAATATACTGGATTAAAAGAAGAAAAAAAATATCAGTGGCTGACTGAGTTCATTTTTCAGTTAGACCAGCTAGCCTTCAAAGGTAAATACTTATCAGTGCAATGGCTGGGTACAAAGACGATACCAATACTCTGTGCCATTTCATTTAGCATTGCTGCCTGTTGCACTAGAAAGTGGCCATATAAATGAAGTGGTCTCTTTACTGGGATTCTCATTATTTGGTTGAATGGCAGCTCTAGTTAATATATTTAGTGTGATAGTTATCGAAGAGCTTAAGGTAGAGGAGATAATTTAACCTTTTTAATCTGCTGCTGAAAGACCAGGAATGTTTTCTTCACCTGGAGAATCTGAGAAGTATGTGAAGTTTCCAGGCCCTGCCAACTTACTCTTGAGCCTGTTTTGAAAGTGAGATTCCAGTGGAAGTCAGTGAAAATTCGAGACAAATGAGGAAAAATGAAACATAATTTGTTTTTACCCATAATTACAGACAGCAACACTGTAAGGCCTGGTTGGTTGGCTGATGGGGAGGAAAGTGAAGTAGGGAGGAGAGAGGCTCATAAAGGTTTCTGAAGGAGCTAGGTCTGTCTTGATTCTGCCCTTGGAGGCAATTGCATAATTTCAGGGATCCAAATATCTCCACAGCTGGGTTTTTTTTTTTTTTTTTTTTTTTTTTTTTTTTGTTTTTTTTTTGTGGTTGTTACTCAAGTATTGAAAAAAAATTACTTTCGCTGGGGAGAAAATATAATGGACAAATTTACACATAGGGAAAAACTAAAGCTATTAACTTTTTTGTGCTGATTCATAACAAGATGGTTACAAAATAGCTAAAGTCTGAGTTTATCCTGTATTGGGTTTAGAAAATTGAGTGCCGTAATTGCCCCAAACCCCCTTATAGTCAGTAGAAACAGACACACCTACACAGGGCAAATCAACAAACCTGCCTGATGGCTGAAAGAATTGAGAAAGCAAAGGGACACTTAAGATTAGACATTTATTTTGTTTTGGATTTACTTTGTATTTTCATTGAAAGTTCAGTCTTTGCTAACAGTCAAAATAGATTATTGTGAGAAATCCATGGGGTTTTTTTTAGTGACTTGCTTAAAATGGCATGTCTGTGTGTGCAGTGTTCATATGTTTTGTCTTGTAACAGGTTCAGAAGAAGAATTAAACCCTGTTTTGATGGCTTTGAAAAGGAGTGCAGATAGGAAAATGCCTTCCAAAAGTCTAGAGGACATTCCATCAGCCACCTCAAGTGAGCACAAAGCTTGTGTGTGTCTCCCATGACCCCCAGTTTGGCTTAAACATGTTCATGCTGGTCTTCCATACAGCTTCGCCAAGTAGTGGTTTTTGTCTTTGTTTCTCAATAGGCTGTATGGAGCTTGTACTGTGAAAGTGATTTCTTTTCTCATATGGTTTAGTTTTCCGTTCTTTGTGTTAATTTTGAAAAAAGCACAGGTCTATGAAGCAGACATCTATCAAAAATGCACTGGTTTAATCCATGATCAATTGTTTCTTGGATAGTTTTTCAGTAGTGAAAGTATTGGCAACTACCCAAATCGGTAATGAGCAATAACTGCCATCACCTCCTGGCTGCTTGCTTCAGTCAAATAAGTAGACAGTTGAAGTATGAAAAAATCATCTTCATTTAGTAGTGCTTCACCTGTGTATTCTAGCAGTTAATATACCAAACTCACTTTAAGACAATACAGTGAGACAAGATTGTGCTTAAAATTCATTCCTGACTTCCCCCTGTAGCCTCCTAGTTTTGGGGCACTTTAAAAATTATTCCTGTCCCCTTCACCCTGCCGCTGAGTGTTTTCATGCCTATCCCATGTCTAATGGGGAAGACATAAACTGAACTTACATTTGTAAACTGAAGTGTGGAGGTGTAGATTTTGAAAGATGTTGGCTGTTGTTGGCAAATTACTCTTCTAATACTACTTATGCTATTGCTTGCTTTTAACTAGTTTCTAGGTTTTAGGTATGCACTAACATTGCTGCAACAGCACACTGACAGAAACTGAGTCAACGTGAGACTGCTGCTTGGATGTAGGCTTGGCGTAGTGTGTGAAGTAGAAAGCATCTCTCGAATTTAACCATTCCCATGGCTCTGCTGGTTTGTTCGGGGTTTTTGTCCTCATTACTCTTAACTCTGTGATTACCACTGCCATCCATTTTATCATACTGAACAGCAAAATTTCTAACTATGTGTTACTTTTTTCCTGCACAGATAAAGGAAAAATAAATAATCCAAAGGAAGAATTAGCTCTTAGTGCTGAAGATGGTAAATATCTTTTGTGTCTGCATGGAAGTTTATTGCTTTTTTCAATGCTTCTGTTTGCTAGTGAAGGAGTTTTGAAACCAAGAATTGTATTGAGCTTTTAGATTTTACTAACTTCAGTATGACCTAAATGCTTTTGCAGAATTTTGTTGTGGTGTTTTTATTCTTAAGGAATATACTTATGTTATGTCCTGCTATCACTGTAGAAACTCTGTGCCACCTACCAGTGTATTATTTTGCCCTTTGGCCCTTCAGCCCATGCAACAGTTACTGACATCTTTGAGAGCATTGAACGTTAGCTCAGCTGAAAGACTTGGCCTAAGTAGACGTTGAATTTGCTTGTTCATCTGTTGCATTATAAGACGCAAGATGACTTTTGCTCATGCAAAGGACTCTTCAGAATACATCGATTGAAAAGGATCCTCTCTCATAATCCCTGTCTCAATCCAGCAAAGTACAATTACTGTAAGCAACAGATGAACTACTAGATTAGCTGCTGTTGATATCATCAATTCATTAGTGCGTTACAGATACCTTACTGTTAAATTTTTCTGTATGCCTTTAGAAATTCCAAATCTAAGCAAAATAACAGCAAATCTGCTCCAAGAACATGTGAAGAACAACACAATAGAAAACCATCAAATAACACTGAATACGGTGGAATATAACACACAATTCTTTATTTACTGCATTGTGGCACTACAGTCTTAAAAAATAGTTGTGCACAGTTGCATTTATCGCCATGTTTAGATGCTTTAAAGGATTTTGCATGTTAGTGGCCTAGGATGATCGTAGTGTAATAGGGTACATGCAGTGTCCAGTAAATTAACAAGACTTAAGTACCGTACTATGCTCTGCTTTCAAATGGAGACCCCCTACTGAAAGCATGTTTATCCAATATGGAATTTGTAGCCACTTATCTGAAAAGCCTGGGTTTACTTTGAGTTAAATTTGCCAAGAGTGAATTTTTGAAAAAACTACAAACTCAGCTAAACTGATAGCTGTACGGACAGAATAAGGCAAGTTCTCTTGAAAATACTGTTCATATTTTTGCTTTGCTTGACTTGTACACTTATGATCCAGCTCCTCAAAGGAGGACAGCAATGCAAAACAGGAACAGAGAAGGTCTGGGGAGTTAAAAAACTCCCCACATATAAAATATGTTGGTGCTATTTATAACATTGCAAAGCTGTTTGTGCTACTGAATGACTGTTGTCAATACTGCACTGAGCAGGTCCGAAACCTGATCAGCATCAAGAGAGGAATGAAAATGCAGCAGGAAGTGAGTAACAGGATTCTTCCAGCAGACAATGGAGAGACTTCTCCACTGACATTTAAACTAATACATTAAAAATCCATTTTTATTTAACAACTAACAAGTTACACATCTGGACTGGATACTTGCTCAATGGGGAAACTGCATCTAACTGCATACTGACAATAACTGATATGTTGAGCACTATTTGAGCTTCAACAGCAAAAGCTCTGGAAAAGCTTAACTCACCCCTTGCAAACAAACCCATGATGTGTGCAGTGTTTCATTTTATGCAATAGATATGTGACCCTGTAGCTGGCTATTTGTTGCCAAATAATTCTCTGTCATACGATATTCAGTAATGGTGCATTTCATAATGTGTATCCAGTCCAAAGATACAGAGCTTTAGTGCATTATTAAATATAAGTGGGGTTGGAGCATGGAAGATTCTGAGAATTGTGGGTTTACTGCAAACTGGATTTTTGTGAGGCTAGTTCGTGCAATTAAGCTTTGTACAGTGAAAGAACATGGAAGTGAAGTTCAGTAGAGGTATACAAAAGTTGAAGAGATGGGCTGAAAAAAAACCTGCATCATTAATGAGAGAGGCATCTTATTATTGACTAGGAATACTTGAAAATTCCAAGTTCAGGTCTAAAAATTGTTTGATTTACACAACTGTTCCTATTGCCATTAATTTGAGTAAATAAAAGAACAGAGTTTGGCTTGTACACGAACTTCTTACCAGGAACCTCATGATGACTCTAATGTCAATGATGGTATAGTTAGTGCATGAGTGCACTTACCCTTGTTATAGGAAGAAAATCTAGAAGGTAAACTGAAAATATTTTCTTCATCACATTCGATGAGAATTTGCTTGCAGCACTCAGGCTTGTACATCATGTCAAGCAATGTGAACACTTCTGTTCCTGCCAGACAAAGTTCTTTGGTCAGTGTTATAGATGTCAAACGATGACAGCTAATGATAGCTTCTCTGAGTCCTGCAGGGGGTGGAATCTCGCATCCAAGCTGTAAACTGTTTCTGCATGTGCATGTATTTTATCTGAACTTGTTTGTTTCTAACCATGTCCTGTTATGGAATCACACTGTTTTGATGTACAAACTTATTTTTGAAACCTTTTGAATTGCTGCTCTTCAGTTTCCACAGTGCCTTCACAGCCTGATAAGCTGTTTTCCAATCCTGAAAAACTCAAAGGACTGAGCAAGTCAGTACCATCATTCCTACAGGAAGAGGTAAGTTCCATCTCTGAAATATTGTAACTAAAACTTTTGATTACTGTGGCATTATGCATTTGTCGAATAGTGCTTTCCAGGGTCTGCCAAATCAGTTTACTGCTGGACCATGGTGTGGAGTTGAGCTTGTGTTGTTGAAGTCAGGAGATGATCCCAAACAACCTATGGCTGATTAACCTTTCAAAAGCTTTCCTCTAGCAACTAGTGTTTTATTCTTACTGTACCCGTAAACATACACAGCATGTTTCATCTAGGAGAGTGAAGCACAGTGAATGCTTGCTCTTATTCCCAAAGGCAATCTCTATCCTTAAGCTAACAGGTCTTTTTTTTTTTTTTTTTTTTTCTTCAGAACATACACATGTGCATACATTTAATTTCTTCAGAACCTAAAATCTAAACTGAACGTGTAAGACTATAAGAAAGTCACCATCTGGTAACCTTTCTCAGAGGGGTATTAGCTTGGTGTTCTGCTTAGGGATGTAAGCTCAGGTACCAAACTGTTAACTCTGTGTAAGTGAAACTTCAGTATTTACAACATACTGTGCCTCTGTAAGGCTGTTACTGTTATTATCATCATCATCATGGTGTGGGCCTTTGAATAAACTCTGAGGCCATATTCAAATCTTCTAAAATGACACCGAAATTTGAAAGTGGTTTGAACTGCCTGGTCTATGACTTCCCAAACAGTGAAGAGAGGGGTGGAGACCGAGCACAAATGTCCTACCATAAATGCCTGAAAGAGGTAGTTCTATTGGTCAGAGGGAACAGGAAGCTCTGGATAATAGGAAATACTTTGCCATTTTTGAACTTGGATAACACCATAGGTTCTTCTTTATTTTTTATTTTATTTTTATTTTTTTTTTCTTGAGTGCCATATTATGAATATGTATGGCAAATATGTGTGCAAACCTCCCCTTCCCCCAAGATGTCAGCAAATCAAAGTTACTGATGCTGTCTTCCAGGTCTCCCAAATAGTGGTACAAACACCTGAGTCCTGTCAGTGAGGGATGTGCATTTGTAGACACAGGCTTAAATGGGACACAGGAATTTAGGGCATGGATTTCGCAAAAATACCTGTGTCTGTGCTATAAAATGAGGAATCGCTGCTTACCTCAGTCCTTATCACTGTAACTGTAGCATAAGCATCAGTATTTTGGAATATTTTTCTAAAAGCACATGTTTAAAAGGACTGAAGGGTCGGAATCAGGAGTATGCTGTGCCCTGTCTTACCCTACTCCCTCCTAAAGTCCAAAATAACCCAAATGTGGTGATACAGGTTCGATTAAGCTTACCTAAAGTGCAGAACTTAAAACCATTCAGTGTCTATGAATTGCGCCTCTTTAGTTTAAGATTTTCTAAAATTACACCATCCTAACGCCCCTTCTGCTGAGAAGAATGCCCAGGAAACTTTTCTAAGGCTTTTAACATTGTACCATGGATGGATCAAAAGATTAGCGTTTCAAAGTATTAAAAGTGGGATACGAAACAAGTCTGAAATAAGTACCTGGGCATCTAAAACCAACCAGCTACAGACTCTGTAAGAAGCCAATGAAAAAGCTTACTCATGTGGGTTTTGAACGAAATAGTCTGACAAGTAACATGAAAGCCAAAGGACTGTATATAATCAATCCGTTCACAGTAGAAAGGGTTTGGGGATGGTTCGTATTGATATTCTGAGAAATTGTCAGCACCCAAACCTGTTTATTCTGCCCCCCAAATTTATCCTTAGAACTGTGATTAGTCCCAATACTGTCTTGAGTTGTCAAGCTCACAACACAGGATGTATTACAGGACATACGTGTGCATGTATATACATGTATATATGTGTATATGTATATATATGTAAAAAATAGTGTGTATCTATAAAAATGGCATGTATTTCTATCATGTGCTGTTCTGCCTTGGAGTTTATCATCACTGAAGTACCATCTGGCCAATACAAAGCACAAAACTAATGAATGGATAACATAAATCTGGTAGAAATAACAGGTTAGAAATATACATTGTAGACACCATGTAGTCACAACAGTATTAACACACATTTCTATGGGCTAGTTCAGTTCTGGAATTATTTTAAAAATAATGAATTCTGATAATAGCATACTTTCTAATTAAAGAAGAAATACAAAGAAATCTATCTTAGATTATCAGTGTCTTTTCCTTCTGCTTAAAAGAGATAACAGCCCAAAACAATTAAGGGTTCTGTACTTGTGATTAGTAACAATATCCACAATATCCTTACTTAACATTTGGAATTAACTTAAAGTAAAAAAAAAACAAACAAAAAACCAAACCACACATGTAATGCGTTTTGGAGGCATGCAGTCACCCCAGTGCTTAATAACTCCTTGTCTCTGAAGTTCTAGATGTTCTACAAACCTCCACGAGAAGACCTTTGACTGTTCCTATCCAGACAGCAGGCTTTGCTGAGTAAATTAAGGACAGGGTTGAAAATAAGTAGAACTGGGTTCAGTTCTGACCCCGCTGTGTGGACAGCAGCTAAAATGGTTTTATGAAAATAAGTAGAACTGGGTTCAGTTCTGACCCGCTGTGTGGACAGCAGCTAAAATGGCAAACCATATATCCTTCCTCCACAAGAGGGCTTAGGATTTTCCTGTCTTTCAAAGAGTCCGTGTAGCAGGACTGATTATTCACACTGCTTAACTGTTACTTCACTCCCTGGATTTGTTTTGGACAGTCCCAAACAGCTGTCTCCAATTGATCTCTCAAGGAGCCTTGCCCTAGGTAGGATGGACATTAGTCAGTCCTTACCTTTGGCCTCTGAACTGGGGAATAATCCTGGCCTGCTTTTACTTAGCAGTATAGACATAATCAGAGAAGCTACAATCAATGGATCTTTATAATATAAAGACTTATTAAAAGTGCTTATATGCTAGACATGAATTTTTATAAATATTAATTTTCTTAACGTGTGTAGAAATGGTTTACTAATCTTGCGTCTGTTAGTAGATCTATGACAGCAGTTCCAAACTGTATGAAGGAGGGGGGAAGCCTTATGAATTGTTCACAGGAAGATGGTGGTTTCTATAAGAGCTTGAGTAGGAAGATGCCAAAGCACATGTGGGAAGTAAATCATCGATACTTTAGTGCAGTGATAGCCTGGAGAGATAATGGGGTTGTAAGCACAAAGCCTGATAAGGACCAAGTAAACCAAAACTGCAGTTCTCTGATGCAAAAGCAGGGCCCTGCTTGCCCTCCTGCAAGAAAGGCCTTTTGCAAAAGCCAGCTGTGCCCAGTGCTGTTCTACTGTGCATGTTACCTTCCAGCTAACTGCCTTAAAGGTAGAGGCTACAGAATTGGGGGTGTTTGCTGTATAACAGGAAGGGACTGGTGAAAAACCTGAGCATTATCACTTGTATAAGTTTATGCATGGGAGAGTGAAGTAGAGAAGTTGAGTTTAATTGTTCCAGTAAAGTTAACTTTGTACCTTGTCACTGCTATTTGAGATTTCAAACCAAACAAAAAGCAGTAATACAGCTAGATTTTAAAAAATTTTCAGTGTCGGATTTCCATCATAAAAATTCCCTTTCAACTCTTTTTTAAATGCGTGACCTAATTTAAGAAATAATTACTTGTGTTGGCACTACAAGGGGATTTAAATTCAGGTTTTCACTGAGTCCCAGTCTGCATTAATTTTTTTCTTTTTTTTTTTAATGTTCCTTCTGACTTTAAAGAACCTACACAGACTTTCTTTCTGTGATGTTTTTGTAGAGTGATGAGAGAGAGACAGATACAGCATCAGAAAGCAGTTATTGCCTTGGCAGAATCAAGAAGAGTCCCAGCTCTCTAACCAATCTTAGCGGCTCTTCTGGCATGGCCTCCTTATCCTCTGTATGTAAACCAAAGCCTTGTTTTAATGGTCCTTTGCTTTTGCTAATCTCTTCTGTATTATTTCAGCTCCCTTCTTATTCCTCTTATCTTTCCTCCCTTGGCATCTCTGTCTCCTTCCTTTTCTCTCTGTTATGTGAACCCTTGCATGGAATTGCCTAAAAATAAAATAAAATTGGTTTTACTTTTCTCGTTTTCTAGCAATATATTGGAGCCTGTTCAGGACTCCAGTGTGCAGCATACTCTATGAACTCTGAACAAAGAGATGGCTTTTACCCTAAAAGCTAACATTTGTAGCTGAAAGTAGGGACCAATTTATATAGAACAAACATTTAGAAAAGGAGAAGGAGGGGTGGGAGAGAAATAAGTGAAAGAAAAAGACAGTATTGGTATGTGGGGTGTGGAATTAAGTCAGTGAACTAGCTAACCAGAAGCTAATTTATATGGACTTCATTGGGAAAGGGAGAATTCTGGGGAAGGATATTGAGATAAAAAACGTTTCTACATCCTTCTCCTTCTGCCTATGTAGGGTTTAATTTTCAAGTATGTTTTGTTTAGGCATCTAATTCAGCCACAGACTTTATCACTAATCTTTTTGTCAGTATTTTCAGAAGGTTTGCTGTCCTAAACTCTTAGGCTCTGCTTTCTGCAAGGAAGATCAGCTGAAGAGATAGACAAGTAATATTTTAAGGATCTGATCACAGGCAGTCTCCAGATCTACAGCATCCTATCATTTTATTTCTTCTATATCAATGAAATAAACAGATCCAAATCTTTTGTGGAAAACTTGGCCTAACACCTTTGATTTACAAATAACTTTCTAATCTGCTTAATCTGCTTGCTGAGAAGCTTGTATAATAGTGTCCGTTACATTTCGTTATTACATCTAAAGGGAGATGGTTGATTTCTTTACTGTCTGAATTCTGAGCATAACTTCTACCCTAATCTTGATGTATCTGTGAAATGCAATGCCTGGAAAATTTTTCCCTTCTTGTATGATACAGGTGAGCGGAAGTCTAATGAGCATCTATAGTGCAGACTTTGGCAATGTTGATGTGAAGGGGAACATTCAGTTTGCTATTGATTATGTGGAACAGCTGAATGAGCTCCACATTTTTATTTGCCAATGTAAAGACTTGGCAGTGGCAGATGTTAAGCGACAGCGTTCAGACCCGTAAGTATAAACAGAGAATTTTTTTCCTAATGAAAGTTTTTCTTTTAACATGTAAATCAAAACTGATTTTTTTTTCCAATCTCCATAACCTGTTAGAGTAAACAACCAAATAAACAAATGAAGAAGCTATAATGTGCTTTACATGGTTTTCCACCCTGAACTGAATGTAGAATTACCACCATAAAATGGTACAGATATTAACATGGGAAGATCCAACTTTTAAGAATATGAAACTTTTTTTTTTAAATTCAACTTTCCATATAGTAAATCCTGCTTTGATAGGTTTTCAATAGGATTAAAGCCTATAAATATGATATCTAGGCATATGTTAGATAAATATTCTGTATTTGTATGTATCGAGGAGACATTTCAACAGATTCCCCCCTGGTAGAAGGCAGTTTTTGTCCCACCTTGAAAACTATAGTTATTTCTTAAATGTAACAAGGTTAACAACTTAATGGCTATTTAAGTGGATTTCTTTTACTTTATAAGCAAATTCTTGTGTATTTTGGAAGAGGAAGTTGGAAAGGTTTTTTTTGCTCTTCTAACCAGCCTGTCTAAATTTTAGGTATGTAAAGACCTACCTGCTTCCAGAGAAATACAAGCTGGGCAAACGGAAGACCTCTGTCAAAAAGAAAACTTTTAATCCAGTCTATAATGAAATACTGCGGGTATTTATCAAACTATTACTAGACATGAAATACTGCATGCATCAAGTATGGGGAACCTTAACTTTCAGGCACAGTTCTAGATGCTCTCAAAAGAGACGTCTGTGTTAGGATGAGATGGATTGCTCTGTGGAAGTACCTATGTGCTTCCATTGGTAGGTTAACTCTACAGTGTACTCTGGATACAACATTGAAAATACTGATTGTGGTATACTTCTTGCAAACAAACACAAGCTAAGTATGAGCTTAAGATGCTTGAAATAAAAAGTAAAACATGAAGAGAGTTTTGTTCTGAAGAAGTGAGCAGTTACGGATGTATAAACCTGGACACATTTTTTTCTAACCTTGTCACTTTTAGACACAGCATTGATAAAAATCCAGCTTGTTTTAATTTTTTTTTTTCTCATTTCTTCCTCCTGGCAGTATAAAATTGAGAAGGGTCTTCTAAAGAACCAAAGCCTTAATATTTCTGTCTGGCACAATGATACCTTTGGGAGGAATAGCTTCCTTGGTGAGGTGGAGCTGGATTTAGGAACTTGGGACTGGAATGATAAATCCAACAAGCAGATCAACTGGTTTCCTCTCAAGCCACGGGTAGGTTACTGAGGGTGGGTTAGCTGCTTTGTGTTTTCAGCGGTGTAAGTGCAAAACCAAGTCATTATTTATTTAGGCCTGGTCTTGTGTGTTCTGTGGTTTTTGTGTTTGTTATAATCATAATTACTGGTAAATAGAACGTACAGTTCTGAGGTTTCTATTAGTCTAGTAAGCAGCTAGCTGTTATAGTAGGAAAAACTTTCTCATAGTCTCAGGAGTAGGATTTTCAAGGTATTTTTCACTTAACGTCACGTTGCTGCAACAGATACCTGAAAGCATTTTTTCCCCAAATATGAAGTAAGCTTCCTGAAAATATGGAGCAAGTGCAGCAACATTTTAATATCAGATGTAATGTTGACTTCCATGTCTGTATGCCTCCTGTTTGTTAATGGGTTTCAGCCAAAATCTAAACTTCTAGCTAAGACACTGCCTGAGGTTCTGGTTTCCTTTGTTGTTTTTACATTTTTCTCTTTTTTTTTTTTTTTTTCTACATCTAAGCAAAAATCACGGAAGCTAGAACATCGCAGAGACAAGTAGATGCCTGTGCAGGTTCCTGCTTGCTTTTGGCTAGGTTTTCCAGCTTAGGCCAATGTCAGCCTGAGACCTGCAGAGCCATTTGGATATGTCTGCACTGTGATCCCAGAGTACCTATACAACCCAGCTTTTATAAGTTACAGAGCTACTCAAGCTCAAAATACTTGAGCACTGACTATATCTGCATTGTGGGGGTACAAGAAGACCTGGCTCCAAGGTCAGGCAATGAGGGGTTTGAACTTTGAGGATGAGGAAAAAAGAACCCCAGGTTTTTCTCCTTGAGCCAGTGCATGAAATTGCAAATGAGGCCGGGAGTTAAAGAGGAACTAAGTGGGATACAACTAAACCGTCTGAGGTTTGGATAGGAATTGATCGTTTCATAAGTCAAGAAAGCACAGACAAACCCTTAACAAGAAAGAGTCTGGACCTGATGTCTGAGGCAACAGGGAACAAATGGGTGCTAAATAGGGTAGGTTAGTCCAGGGCAACCATTGGAAGCTGTGGATGTTGGGATATGTTGGGATTGCAGCAATTACTGATGTTGTAGCCTTGCCATACTGTGAATATGACATGGACCCACATTATAGTCTTTGTGTAGACTGTGTGATATAGAGCCATATGAAACTTGCACAAACTGTAATGTCAAGTCTATTTTTAATTTTAAATGTTATGTTAGGAGTAAATATGCTTACTCAAGTAAATAACTTTTTTTTTCCCTTGAATTTACTTCATTAGTTCATTCTAAAATTAGCTCAGTCCAAAGCTTAATAATTTGTAGAACAAACCAGGAAGCCATGGTAGTCTTTAGCACTGGTTTAATTTGACTGATATTAAGACTGCTCTGGGTAGATAAATGTAACCAAACGTTAATGGGTGCCATGTTCCAGCTACAGATGGTCCGTCACTCTCTGTGAAGAAGTAACATATTCTTGTGCCTTTTTGCAAGATAACGCTCTTTGAGGCTGGTTTTCAGACTGTGTTAAATGAGACAAAACATTCCTATAGAAATTACTTCATAAAAGTACACTTTCTGTTGCACAAAGAGTAAGTTTCCTTATTGAAAGAGCATATTTTCTAGTTTTAAATAAGTGCACAGCAGTGGAAAAGATGTGCCCTCAAAGCCTTTTGGCCTCTTCTGGGTCTTGTTTTCTGCTTTAGTGGAAGAGCTATATATCTGAGGGACTGTCAAAGTGGTTAAATGTGCCCTAAAATCTCTCCTGTCCTGTAAACTGAGGGAAGATTAACGGATAAGGAAACAAGAAAAAAAAAAACAACAACCTTGCCTTGTGCAGAAGTCAAGCTTGTTCCAGTGGAAAACTTTGCATGATAAACTCTGCATGAACTGCAATGTTTGAGATTTGTGGGGTTTTTTTCTTGAATTTCAGACTTCAACAGTGGCTCTTAACCCAGAAAACAGAGGGGAGATGAAACTCGCCCTCCAGTATGTCCCGCACCCTGTTGGAGGTATGCATTGCTTCTTTGTTTGGGTTTGTCAGGCCTTTGGGGGTTTTGTTCTTCCCCCCCCCCCCTTTTTTTTTAAATTAAAAAAAAGCTGATTAATGTTTTTCAGCCAGTTTTGACATCTTGTTTTAACATAAGAGTAAATTATTTTTTTTTTCTAGAGGATTAAGTCATGCTGGTCATGAATTCAGTTTAGGATCCAAAGATCACTCCAGGATCTTTTGGTTTTAATGTTACTACAGAAGTTGTTACCTTATTGTTACAATCTTAGATTTGTAATGCTGTCTGTATGTGTAACAAAATTCTGTTTTCTCACTAATAATTTGAGAGATATATAAATCATCAGGCAGGTGCTGTGATATGGCAACACACTAAATTCAAGCAACATTAGAAGTAGAAAATACTAATAAGTATTTAGAATGCAGTAATTTATAGCATTATGATCTGTTTGGTTTGATCTTGTCTGGTGACAGGTAACTGGCTGATCAGACTGTGAAGCCAGGTCAGGTCTTTAATCCAGCCAGTCAGGCAGTCAATAAGAATCAAATATATAAGAGCACAAAGGAGCTTATTTGAAAGTACAAGTGGCAATAAATGCTAACACCACATAGACTGAAGACAAGCTGATCTCTTTATCTAGGAGGCTTGGAAAGAGAAAACCAGTAGCATGTATTTGTTTAGTTGTAACAGAATGAAAAGTCATTGTGGGAATACAGACATGATGTCATCTTGCTGTACTTTGGTGGGATGAAGATTGCAGCTTCAAGAGTACAGAGAGGGATGTTGAACTAAGATGTGAGATAATGAGAGTCTAGGCCGATTATCACCTCTACGTATGGGCAGGATCTACTGCATCATAGAAATTTGCTTTAAAAGGGATCTGCAAGGCTTAATCAGATGTCCTGTTTTGTTTTTACAGGAAAGAAGAGTCTGCCTACTGGTGAGGTTCACATCTGGGTGAAGGAATGCCGTGACCTTCCTCTTCTGCGAGGCAACAGGCTCAACTCTTTTATTAAGTGGTAAGAACTGTGGTTGAAGTCATCAAACATAGTGGCCCAATAATGCTACTGTGTGCTTTCTAATCTTAACTTCATTTTTCTACATTCAAATTATAAAACACCTAATTACTTTCTCATTCTCCTTTCTTGTAATGAAAATTGTCCTGCAGGGCTTACAACTTGTGGTTGTTAACCCTGCAGGCAGCTGAGCACCACACGGCCGCTCTCTCACTCCCCCCTTCCCCAGTGGGATGGGGGACAGAATCGGGGAAAAAAAAAAGTAAAACCGTGGGTTGAGGTAGACAGTTTAATAGAACAGCAGAGGAAAATAATAATAATAATGATGATAAAAGAATACACAAAACAAGTGATGCACAATGCAATTGCTCAACACCTGCCCAGCCCATCACTGAGCGAGCAGCAGTTGCTGCTCCCTGGCCAACTCCCCCCAGTTTCTATACTGAGCATGATATCATATGGTATGGAACACCCTTTCAGCCAGTTGGGGTCAGCTGTCCTGGCTGTGCCCCCTCCCAGCTTCTTGTGCCCTTGGCAGAGCAGGGGAAGCTGAAAAGCCCTGGACTGGTGTAAGCCCTGCTCAGCAAGAACTAAACCATCAGTGAGTTATCAACATTCTTCTCATACTAAATCCAAAACACAGCGCTGTGCCAGCTACTAGGAAGAAAACAAACTCTATCCCAGCCAAAACCAGGACACAACTTCAAGAGGCTAAGTATATACCCCCGAGTAAAACAGTGGAGAATTTCCTGCATAATCGCTTCTATCGTGGTTTAGCCGCAGTGGCAACTAAGCACCACACAGCAGCACTTTCATTTTGTCTGTCCAGTTACTAAGTGGAAGGGCTAGTTAGTCAAAATTGTGCCTGCTTTTATTTACATTTAATCAAAGCATGTTTGTGCATGTTTAGCTTAGCAAATCGTGGGAGGAGACAGAAGTGAGAAGCATGGTTGTATTTCTTCCTCCTTCCTGTCCACATACAGACTAAAAATGTAAAGAGACAAGAATAACAAGACGGTTGGGAAATTTCTGGCAGCAACAAAGAGGTTTCAGCATCATTAGTGATAATACAGCAAAGAAACTCACTTGCGGCTCTTCCCCACTTGACCTCCCCTTCCCTTCCAGCCCTTGAAGCACAAGAGTGGATACATGCTGCCAGCATTTTTTGGGACTGCGAATATGACCTTTGACTTCATCTCCACGATGCTAAAGCATCGTCACATTCAGTCACATTCTAACATGCAACGGGCAGTGTTAATCAGTAGTTTTTGTCCGTTGGGTACGTTTAATGCAGGCTATGCTGTGCAAGTGCAAACTGACAATGCTTTTTCTTTCCGAAGTACCATCCTTCCGGATACGAGCAGAAAAAGTCGCCAGAAAACAAGAACAGTAGCAAAAACTACAAACCCGGTATTCAACCACACCATGGTCTACGATGGCTTTAGACCAGAAGATTTGAAAGAAGCCTGCATAGAACTCACAGTCTGGGATCACAACAAACTAGCCAACCACTTTCTGGGAGGTCTCAGGATAGGCCTCGGAACAGGTACCGGACAATTAACGCATTAATCCTTAATTTACGAAATACAGTTTTTCCTTTTTTTTCCTCTTCCTTTCTATTTCTTCTCTTTTTCCAAAGATCGCTGAGCAGCCTTTCAGTTATTTATTTGCAGAAGAGTTTCATTCAGTAATTTAGCTATTCTTCAGCACAGATCCTGAAATGTAAATAAAAGTGGCGTTATGAGGGTTAGGATGACTGATGAGTAAGGAGAAATATTAGAAATAAACCTTTGTCTGGCCATACATTGTATCTGGTTCTGTCTGAAGTACAAGAATATGCTATTCCTGAACCCCAAATCTTGATAATGTCTTCCAAACCTACGCATGCAGAAGCTAGGTATGTGGTGTAAAGACACTATTGGGTGGAGATAAAAGGATAGATCAGGAATGAGTGATAAGATTTGAAGACATTGGATAGGAAAACTTATAAATGCAAACAAGTTTCTAGCATAAAGGCAATATAAGATGTGCAGATAGAAGTGTTGTATGTTTTCCCTATCATTATATTTGTCCCTTTAGAATCATAGAATCATAGAATCGCTTTGGTTGGAAAAGACCTTTAAGATCATCGAGTCCAACCGTAAACCTAACCCTGCCATCCCACCACTAAACCCTGTCCCTAAGCACCTCATCTATCCTTCTTTTAAATACCTCCAAGGATGGGGACTCTACCACCTCCCTGGGCAGCCCATTCCAGAGCCTGACAACCCTTTCAGTGAAGAAGTTTTTCCTAATATCTAACCTAAACCTGCCCTGGCGCAGCTTCAAACCATTAAATTAAAATTAAAAACCAATTTCAATTGTCCTCTCTGAGAGGAGGATGTGTTTAGAGTCTTTTCAAGCAAATACAAGAAAAAAATTACTTTTCCCAAATTAAATTGTTGCGTGGTTCACCAGAACAACCTAAAATACAAATTAGCATAGTAAATCTCAATTTGAATTTTAGAGCACCCGAGGTTGTATTTCAGTACAAAATTGGTGTCTTGTTTTATTCTTAAACCCTCTCGGATGTTAATCGCCCATACATCTTTCTCCTTGGGACTGTGACAAAGACTAAGGATAACAAGGAAAAAAAGCCTGGAGAAAGATGACGAAGTTTCTGCGTGAAACTGTCATTAATTGTGTTTGACAGAATCGTTCAAGTGGGGGGGGGGCGGGGAAAGTAGACTTGGATCTCCAAAGTACTAGGTCAGCTACCTGAGGAGGTGAAACCGTTTCAGAAGACAAGTAAATTTGATTGTCTGCTCTCAGCTCTGTGGCATATCGAGTAATGTTTCTCTTAAAACTGATGTTTGTCTAGGCAAAAGTTATGGAACTACAGTAGACTGGATGGATTCTACTTCAGATGAAACTGCCCTTTGGGAGAAGATGATGAACTCGCCCAACACGTGGATAGAAGATACACTACCTCTCAGGATGCTGATGGTTGCAAAACTGGCAAAATAAGGTGGCATTTTAATTGCTAAGTGTCAGAAAGAGACCTCGGGAATGAAATTAAAGGTGTGGGGGTGAAACTTGGAAGAGGAACACAGTAGCTCTTCTGACAGTCTCTGCTCCGTTGCTCTTCTGGTTTTGTGCTGTCAAATGTCACTTTGTATTTCAAATTAAACTTCTGCCTGCAGATTATTATGTACATTTAAGGGATTCTTTTATTTCTTATTCACTGAAAAGGACTTGAAGAAAGAAGGCATGTACAGAACTGAGCGGTAGAGGTAGCTGTGATACCTGGATGCTCGTGGTGCCTAACCGAAGCATTGCTAATCCCTTAAATAATCTGAACTACCAACAAAAAAATAAGGGCAAGTCAACTCTTGCGGTACCCTTCCAGGATTGCTCATAAAGTGTTATTAATAAGATAGCAACAGGTTGCATTTTGTTTATGCTCATTAGTACGTATTTGCACCCTCATTATGCCATGCCAGATCTCTCCAGAGAGGAATACGAGGATGAAGAATTTTTTTTTTTGGATTGTTTTGCAAGTTCCTTTATTTGTAGTTGTACATTTCTAGGATATGGAAGTCGCTTCTAGAATGAAGGAAGCATTACGTGGAGCGGTACTGCCCATGTCCTGTGCTGCAGGGTGCAGAGCACTGTTGATTAAAACATACTATCAAAAATCAGGGTTATAAAAAGCTTGCTTATATACGTGTTAGTTGTCTTGCTAGTGTACAAGCCTGACTCTCAGGTGCTGAAGGCACAGAGGTCAAACGGCTTTTATTCAGTGCTAGCCTAAAGGATCTAAACCTGCCAATTTTAGTGACGACAGATATGTTGGGTATTTATTCTGTAAAGCGTGCTCGTCTGTACCGGTATCTAGCAGCTTGGCTTTTTGCAAAAAGTAATTTATCTGTGCTTCAGCGCCCCCGTCAGGAGAATGCTGGGACTAGGGTGGTCTTGGTTTAGGTGGCTTTGCAGCGCAGGAAATAGGACGAGAATCTGTAACTTGTAGAATTGCATGCTGCTAAAGAAAGAGAAATGCATACATACAAAATGTATTACTTTTTTTTTTTTAATAAAAGCAGCCTATTAAAGCTAAATAGGAATTCAATGTTTATTAAAACCCAGTGGTTTATGTTAGCAATTCAGCATGCAATATAACGAAATGCAGATGGAAAACATTTCTGAAAACAAATGCACATTTATTTGTTCCAGCTGAGTATGTCTAAAAGCTGGTGAAATCTTGCACCTCGGTTAGAGGAGGGAGGGGAAGGGGGCTCTTTGCAGCTCCAACTCAATCGCTTAATTTAGTCATGGGGATTTAAATACTGCTTGGTATTTATTACACACTATGAATGGAAAAAAAGGAAAGGTGCTATTCAACCTGCCGGGGAACCCGCTTTCTGTCTCATCAGCCAGGCAGGCTGGGGAGTTTAGAAATGCCAAAAGCAGTTGTCAGTCTTGATACCTTGTCGCTTCAGGTGTGTCGGACGGGATCGGTAGCTGCGACAGATTCCACTTTGGCAGATAGATAGGTACAAAACATTGTTCTGGTATGACTAAGGAGCAAGGTGCACACGACACTCCACAACGATGTATTTGTACTTAAGTGCAGCTACTTTGCTTCTGTGTTCTTGAGTAGCCTCTCCCGAAAGGGGGGTGACTCTGGAAAAGCAGAGAGGCACCTAGTTCTGTTATATTCACTGCCTGTAATGGATTCATTTGCACCCAAAAAAGTAGGTTGCTGTGAACACGACCTACAGTTTCACAGGATTAAAACTGTTGTTGTTGTTGTGTTTCCTGTGAAGCTTAAATGCTCTGCTGTGCCAAAATAGCTCTGGGACTTCAGCTGTAGGGATGGGGTCTCGAGGCTCTATGCAGGCAAGCGTCACGGAGCCTGCTGTGTTCTGCACTGTACAGAACTCTGATGGTTAAACGTGGCTGCCATCAAAATAAAACGCTCTGTTTGTGACAGTCTCACTCCCCTCGTCTTTTGGTCAGGTAGAACATCTTCTGTCTCGCTGTTCTAGGAGGTTCAACAAGGCCAAGTGCCGGGTCCTGCACTTTGGTCACAACAACCCCACGCAACGCTACAGGCTCGGGGAAGAGTGACTGGAAAGCTGCCTCGTGGTACTGGTTGACAGCCGGCTGAATATGAGCCAGCAGTGTGCCCAGGTGGCCAAG